ATTAGGTCCTGTTTGTTTGTTTTTCCTTTTATTTCTATTGTCTGGGTAGACTGCCCTAGGAGAACACTATTAAGATTTATGTCAGAGAATGTTTTGTCTTTGTTTTCTTCTAGGAGGTTTATAGCTTCTTCTCTTATGTTTAAATCGTTAAGCCACTTTGAGTTTGTTTTTGTGTGTGATGTGAGGGAATGTTCTAACTTCATTGATTTACATGCTGCTGCCCAGTTTTCCCAGCACCACTTGCTGAAGAGACTGTCTTTTTTCCATTGTATAATCTTGCCTCCTTTGTCAAAAATTAATTGACCATATGTCTGAAGGTTTATATCTGGGCTCTTTATTCTGTTCCATTGATCCATATGTCTGTTTTTGTGCCAATATCACACTATTTTGATTACTGTAGCTCTGTAGTATTGTCTGATGTGTGTATGTTTTTGTTGTGGTTTGTTTTGCAAGTCTGAAGTTTTAATTGTTACATTGTTTACTTTATCATAACATTCTCATTTTTCTTTATGATTTCTGGATTTTTAGTTGTAGTAGAAAGGCCTTTCCCATTTTAAGATTATAAAGAAATTCTTTCATCTCTTCTTCAAGTAGAAAAATGATTTCATTGTTTATTTCTGAATCTTTAATTCATGGGAAGTTTTTTAAAATTGATGGTTCACATGAAGATGCAAGGTTCTGTAGAAGTTGGAATTCTATATATTAATTATGATACTGTTCCTAAGCCTTACATTAAAAAACTGTACTTCTAACTTATTAATAATAATTTAAAGCTTAAATATTAATTTGTTTCCTTCATTGACCTAATATTTATTGAACACCTATTATGTGCTGAATTATTACATTTACCCATGTTGAAAATAATACTAGGCATGAAAGAGTTCCAACTAAAGACAGTACTACTCTCAGAAATAGAAAAGAATAAAAAAATGCAATGCTCAGTGGCCAGAAATAAAAATTCTTCATGCTTCCCAGACATCTTAATATTTATAGCATTACAGATGGTTCTGTCCTTTCTTCATGGCTGGTGCCACATGCTTCCTGTTTGAGGAACTTATCCTTCAGTGGAAATGAGCAACTTTCCTTTGTGGTGCAGGTACTTATTTTCCAAGAAAAGATCAGATGTTCATCTCAGCTGGAAACACCCACTCTGCATGTTTTTTCAAAGGGTTTGTTACTCTTGCATTCCAGACATGTCCAAACTAAACCCCAGTCAGAAAAAGACCCAGCTCTGACTTCCAATGCAACTTGTGGTCTTTTACTCTAGAATTAGATCAGACAAATATGTTATTCTTCATTCAGAATTATAATTTTATAATTATGCAGTAATTTTACATTAATTAATACCTAGTCAATATTGATCATTAAAGTAAGTAGTCTTTATTCTTCTCTGGTGTTCAAAGATGACTCACAAACTGAATTTACTTAACACTCAGCTCCATGGTTCTTCCTCTGGTACTTAACAGAGCTCTCTGAATAGATTCAGGAAACTGGATTATTGAAGAAGTGCCACCTCTGAAGCATGAGCAGAAATGAAAGGGCTAAAGTCGTGTTAGAACCGAAAGGTACTCTGAGATCTCTTTATTCAACCCAGTCGTTTTAAAGATAAGGAAGCAGACATCCAGAGAACTCTGAGCCTGATGACATCTTACCTATATTTATCCTAAGTCATCACACCCATAAATAAAGGAGCGACTTAGCCCTCTTCATTTTTATTTGATTAACTCATGTCACTAATCTGTTAGTTTTGTTTCTTTTTAAAAATGTGTAAGTGTAAAAAAGTTGAGGGGAAAAAATCATCCCAAATTTCTCTCTCTAGGGACAATCACTGTTAAAAGGCATCGTGACTTTCAGTAAAGGAACAAGGTTTGGAGCCAGATAGCGTGAGGCAGGGAACCCCATCACGTAAACTTTCTAAGTCTCAGCATCTTTAGGTCTAAAAGAGGGATAATAGTATTCACTTCATAATGAAGATGAAATGCTTTATAGGTAAAGCATTCAGCTCAGTAACTGGCATGGTTATATTCAGTTCATGTTAGCAATTGTTAGTATTATAGTTGAGATAATACTCTACGTTTTTGTACCATGCCTTTTTTACTTATTGCATCCTATGCATTTTTCCAGGTCATCAAAGAATTTTTTATTAATACACATATTTTATGCCATGGCCCTCTCTGTCAAGAAAAAGTGGAGTTATTTTCCTTTCCAAACCCAGGGTTGCATATACCTTCCCCCCAACAGAAAAAAAAGCTGAATCAGCAGCTGCCAACAAAAGAGAAAAGAAACAAGGTTTAATTAAGAGGAACTATTTTGGAATAAACAGCTGGATTTACAAGGGTATGTATGAGAATGCTTTGATGCACGCATCTGAAGAGCAAAGGATATAGAATAATTGATGGCTTTATTGGCAGATCAAAGTGTCTCAAGGGCATTGCAGGCTGTGGACAGAGGTAAATCGTTTGCACTTTTCCTGCATTTAATGTATGCATGTTGTGAGCGTAATAATAATTTGTACTCACACAGTACCTTTCATCTGGGGAGGAGCTCAAAGTACTTTGAAGATGTTAATAAGAAAAAGACCTGCTAATTATGACTGCTTAAAAAGAAAACCTCTCCTTTCAGCATGTTTACATGATTGCTGGGAAGGTTCTGACTTAAAGAGATTTGTTATCACAGGCGAGTTATTTCATGTTCTCTTTTTATAACATACTGTTGGATTTAAGGTACAGAAAAAAGATCTTTCTCTGGACACTCACAGCGCGTGTAACGAGATAATTCAACTGTGACGTGCTTGATTTGAAGATCACACATTCACCCTGAAAATTTGGGGATAGGGCAGAAAGTAGTACCGTGTTGGAAATTTGTGATGAATTTTCAGTTATCAGAAAGAGTCATAGACTAAACCTAGCAAAGCAAGCTTAGAAGAAAAACAGAGCATTCCCAGCCCCATCTGAAATTATACTTGTTGAAGGAAATTCAAATAGCAAAAATCGTGGAGTTCTTTGTCCCAGTGAACAGGATGATTTTAAGAGCTCTGCAGGCTTCTACCTCAACTTCCCTACATCACACACACTAAAGCAAGTCCCTCCGTAGATGCAGTCCCCTCATGAAGCCTTCTCTAATTCCAGGTGTCAGAGTTGGAAAGCTCCTATCTCTCTGCTCCTCGGGCAGGGGATATGTTATATGTTTGAATATCTTGTCCAGCTTCTTAGTATTTATGCCATTTTTTCTTATGTCAGCTAGATGTTTATAGTTCTTTCCCATAGGGAGCAAACTCCAAGGAGGCAAAAAAATATTTATTTTATTCACCTTAATATCCTATAGAGGAGGGCTTAGCACAGGCAAGGTCTGATCCTTAAAACAACATACCCATTAATAGTTATTTCTTTTAGTTAAGAGTTTTATTATAGCACGTTTGTAATAGGAGAAGAAATCGGAAACAACGTACATGTCCATCAATAGGGTACTGGCTGAGTAACGTTATGGTACAGCCATACAGTGGAACAACCTCATGTCACTACTAAATAGGATGAGGTAGACTTGGAAAAATGCAATGATTTATGAAAAGAACATCTCAAGTGGAATAATATCTATTTTGGGATCTCTGTTTTGTATAAAAAACCCCAAAAAACCAAAGGGATGGTTGAAAGATGTATGGAATGAATAGAGGGGTAGACAAGTATATGGATCCATTTTTTCCAATTCATAGAAACAGGAAGCCCTGAAAAAGAGGAGCCCAGGTATTCACAGTCAGTATTTCTGGTGAGCGGGGCTGAAAGGAGTAGGCTGGCTGTGGGAGGAAACACCTTCACTTTTTGTTTTTCCCTCTGTATTATTTGAAGTTTTAGCAATGAACAAGCATTACTTAAGGCCATTTAAAAAAAAAAGGAAACTATTTATTGACTTTAAGTTTGGATTTGTTGAGCCTGCCTTCAGTTGGGCAGATGACCTAATATCCCATATTTCTCAATTTCACAGCCTTTCTCCCTGACAGAGCTCTGGCACTGAATGAGCCAGAAGGGACAAAGTCTTCCTTTTTCCAGAGTAAGCACTTGGCTGAATTCAAACTGACTCCCTTGGGCATCTCCCTGGGGCATCTTTCCAGGGCCTTGCTTTCTAAACTGGGTATACTAATGGGCTGGGACAGATTCCCTGGCCGACTCTGGCCATTGTCAAATCTCTCTGGTAACTTTCCTAGGCCTTCTGGCCTCCAATGAGACATTGACCTTTTTCAGTTGTAAATTAGTCTAGATCAAAATTCAAGCAGGAGGCACTGCTGCCCCTGAAATCCTTCTGCTCTTTCTTTCTGGCCAGTGCACTCTCCCTTCCTTGAAACTCCTGCTCCGCCCACGGGGGGATGATCAGAAATAGCCACCTGGGTTAATTTCCTAAGTGACCATTCTCCTGTTTTGACCGGCAAGAGGGGTGTAATCTGTTCTCTACAGTTTGCATAGGTTGGCTTGCCGCCAGCCTGATTCTACCAACTAAAGGAAACTGGGAGGGCAAGAGGGAATTTGTGTGAATATTATAAATTAATCCACTTTCCTGTGATCTGGCCTGGCCCATTTTCAGTAGGGCTGGTTTAGGGTTCATTTGTGGTTATATAAACTTGCTTACAATCCGGGAGAGGAAAGAACACCCTCTGGTGGTGAGATTACATGCCTGCACCGTACACCCTAAATTTCAGCTCCTGGCCAAATTGTCTGACCTGCCCTGGTGCGGGGCACACAGTCAGAGCAATCTACACTTAAAGAAATCAGCGCCGCCTTAAATCTTGAGTGGTACACAGAGATACGGGCAGTAACATTTCCATTTCCCAATTATGCTCTTTTTCTTTTAGTTCTGAGGTACTGGGTTACGCATTGTGCAGGTTAAAACGTTTAGCTCTGTTATTTTATTATGGGGAAAATCCTCATCATATGAACTATAGAGCTTGAATTGATTTTTGTGTGTACAATTATTAATGATGTCTTTTGTGTTGACGCATATTTCAGGCCCATTTTGTTTTTCAAAGTGTGTCTATTCTGTAGTAGAGATTTTGGGTGCTCAGAATGCATGACTACGTTCTGCTGCATGCTACAACATTCAGATGTATTCACAGTCGTAGCTTCCAGTCTTCTTGTTCGTCAAGCCACACAAATTGTCACAGTCAGCTTGATTGTCTGGGAACATTATCAGAACAGATGCTTTGGAGAGACAGCTAGCAGGCCTTGTGTGGAATGTTCAGTGCAAGCTGGAGTTCCCGTGGACCCTGGACTTTTGCCTTCCTGAGTCTCTGCCTTTGACTTTCCCTTTGGGAATAATGCCATAAAGGTCACTGTTTCCTGTTCCAAATATTCCTTTTAGTTTCTGTTTCGTGAGAACTCTGTATAAAGCTTTTTCCCTTGACCATTTGTCCTCCAAGGCCTGAGACTGCTTCTGAAGTGGAGAGAGTTGAATAAACCCAAGGTTCCTTCTAGGGAACTGGTCATTATTACCTGCTCCTGCACTTGTCATGGAAGAGTAGAGGGCCCTTGGAGAGGCAATGGTACCAGGATTTGAGGTGAGAGAAGAGAAAGAGGGCTCCATCCATTATTTAAAACTTTCATTTGCTTTTTGTCAAAATGTGTGTTGGCCATCTAGTGAGTGGTGATCAACCATCTAGATCTGCCCGGGACACAGGACTTTCAGTGTTAAAACTGGCAATGTCCCAGGTAAACGGGGTGAGTTGGTCACATCAGTGTGAGTTTAGGATTGTGTGAACCTGCTTTTTGCTCCTCTCCCCAGTTAAGTGTCCCTCGGTCCCAGATCTGCCGAGTGCTCTTCCTTATGCCTCCTAAAAAAGAAAAAATAAAATCTATAATGTTTGAAAACAATTATACATTAAGGATTTACTGCATTTCAAAAGTGCTAACCATGGGAAACTTGAACTTAAAAATTACACAAACATGAACTTGCGTCAGGCACGCCTCACCCACTCTACTGTAACGATTTATAAGCAGGTTGTGAAGATTGACTGTTCGTGCAAAGTCCGGTGGTGGGGGTGGGGAGCTGAATGGATAAACAGATCAACTACAGAAATTACCAAGTGCTAGGCAAGTGGTGTAGGAGGCCAAAGAACAAAGTGATGACTGTGGGCTGGGACAGCTGGGAGAGGCTTAGTACAGGAAGTGGGATGTGAAGAGGGCTGGAGAGGAATCTACGAAGAAAAGGTGGATTTTAAATGAGAAGAGACACTTCCAAGCAGAGGAAACAGCTGCCCATAGCCTAGGAGTGTCTGCGTGGGAACAGCATAGGCTGGTTGCCCGGAAGCTGAATTTTCAAATGGGTGATCAGTTTGAAGAGGGTGTGTGGTTCCATCCCTGTATTTCTGTATCATTGCTTCTGCAATTATTACGGGCACACCGAGCACGCCTTTTCCAAACAGAGGGAACACTTCTTTCTCCTCCTGGCCCTCTGCCAGCTTTTGCAGGTTAGGTCCAGCCTCTCTAAAGAATTACCTGACTGTTTCAGTAAATATTTAGGGTGCAGAGAACTGGAGCACTGTCAAAACTCTGTGTGCCGGCTCCACCCTTCCTTCTATTGAGTGCAGCGCAGGGTGGGGCAGCCCGCAGAGTGTGGGCAAGGAAGTTATCCCTCACCCCCATGCAAACAAGCTCCGACACAGAGACGCAGGGTATCAGCCCCTGCGCCCCAGTTCTCAGCAAAGGCAATGACCATTTCTACCTGAAATGGGATTGTTCACGACTAGCCTGCCTGACATGGACAGCCGTAAATGCTCAATGGTGGGCCTTCAAAGACCTTATCATAGATCGAACACAGCAGAATGTCAGAGCGCGAGTTTACCTAAATGACCTTGTCCTTGCACAAGCCCCATTGTTCTTTAGTGAAAGGAACCTCTTTCAATTCAGCAAAGACAATGTGAAGATGTGTTTGTAAACCAGATAAGCACTGCCATAAATGGGGCCAAGGGAGACAGAGGCAAAACAGAAAGTGCCTTCAGTAAGATTTGGGAGCAGGGACGCCAGAAAGGTTCTTGTGTCTCTTCCACCAGCTAATGACCTGAAAATTTCTTTTCACATAAAGATGAAGCTTTAGTCCGCAAATGCCCCTGGGAAGATTAAGCCTTGCATTGCGTTCACACTGAGGAGTGTCCGTCACCATTTTCCCCTGGTGAGGAGTAGATAAGGCCTTCGTGTTTAAAGAGAAGCGTCCGCAGACACAAGAAAACACTGCCAAAAAGGAAGCCTTGGCATCTCAAAACCAAATCTCCGGTATCTAAATTTTTCTGAAATTTGTCATAGCTTTTATTTGAAGTGGCCTGAATCATAACAGCACTCTGAAAAGCAGTTTGTTTTTCTTGTTTTGAATTTGCAGCTCCTTAATACTGTACAGTCTTCACCACCTACCACTTTACTTTTGTCATTCGATTTCCATCCCTAGCTCTCAAACCCTTTCTGTAAACTACTTTAATCTGCCCCATTTCTGCTTCTGAATTTCCACCTTTTTTCCCACTGGTCATGTTTATTTATTAGCTCATGATGATTGCTTCCTTTCTGGAGAGACATGACTGCCCCAAGATATGTCTCTGTCCTTAGAAGATATGAATTCAAGGTTAAATTGTTGCGTTGATGCCTGGATCTATTTGAAATATGTGATCACCCTCCTGCTTTCATTTGTTTTATTTGAAGACGTAGATTGGTAACTACTATTTCTTCTTTTTTCCCCACAAGTTTATTTTTATTTATTTTTTTTGGTTGGGGGAGGAGGTAATTAAGTTTATTTATTTACTTTTAGAGGAGGTAGTGGGGAATGAACCCAGGACCTTGTGCGTGCTAGGCACCCGCTCTACCAATTGAGCTATACCCTCCCCCACACTGCCCCATCCTGGTAACTAATATTTCTATGCTTTAAAAAATGAAAGGGAGGAGGGAGAGGGCATAGATCAAGTGACAGAGAACATGCTTAGCATGCACAAGGCCCTGGATTCAATCCCCAGCACTTCCTCTAAAATAAATAAATAAATAAACCTAAAAAATGAAAGAGAAATTCCACTAGGCAGTGTGGATTAATCAGATTGATTTTTCTTTTTTAAAAAATCTGGCTTTATACTTCTTTTGTGTTTGTTAGTCTTTAATTATCTACAGCTGAGACATTATCTATAATTTGTCTCTTGAGCATCTTCTTACCTACATCTCTTTGTAAATAATTATTTTTAAAAAAACTTTGCAATTGGTTCTGCCCTTGGTGGTGTCAATTAAATCACTATCACTTGATCTGAATGCTAACAGAATATGGTGTCTGCTATTAGGTTAAAGGTTTCCTTGGAGTAGATCCAGTTCTTTTTAACTTTTTTTTTTTTTTGATAAGCAATGACTTTCAAGGTCCTGGCTTGAAGATTCTTATTTTAAATAAGGAATTCTGATCTCTACATGATTTGAACAATCCCAGACTATAAGGGCATCTCCCAAGTCTACCAGACAGTTGTCCTCCATTAAAACAGTGCCATTTAAAAGTCTAGAGAAGAATTCAGGCAGCTGTAGTGGACCAGGCAGCTGAACCAAGATCATCTAAAGAAGCTACTAGGAGAATATTCTACCACCTCTGTCAATCTAAATACCACTGCCAAGTCACACTGTTCTCTAAAAGTTCAGTTAGTCCTGGTTTACGGCTCAAAGCACTTTGCATGTATCAGCCCATTAGCCCTTTGGCATTCCTCTGAGTCTGGAAGCTGACAAGTGGAAATAACCCAGTTTCCAAATGTGCACTCAGGCACAGAGAGCTTAAGTAAAACTGCAACAGGATCACTAATTCAGGCAGCAAAGCGGCACACACATGGGATCAAGAAGGTACCAAAATGTTCCATAGGACTGAACGTAACAATCTCCCCAGCACTGGTGTTCCTTCAAGTAGCAGATACACAACTCTGCACTAGATAAAGCACCTCTGCGTGGGGCTCCTCACTCCTGACACTCCGGGGTAAACAGGCTCACTTTAGGCAACATCATCCACACGGGGGAAGTTTTGTCTCCTGGGCCATCTTCTCTCGGAGCCAATTCTCTGTCAGCTAGGGCCAGAGCATGGTATCTAGGGCTAGAAATGCCAGAACTCAAATCTTGGCTCCACCACTGGGACCCTGGGCGAGCCACCTAATCTCTCTGTGACTCAGCTTCCTCATTTGTGAAGTAGGGGTTAGTAATATCTTGGACAAGGTGCTGTGGGGAGGGAGCTTGTTAGTCTGTGAAAGTGCTTAGAACACAGTCTGACACATAAGCGCTCAATAATGTTAGCTGTTTCTCCAGTTACCATTTAATATGGCATTTCTTTCCTTCCTTGGGAAGCCTTCTGGTGCCAGAGCCCTCTCATTCTCTTACTTCCTCTTTCTATCAAAATAGCAAAGGATCCAGTATCAGCCATTAACATTTTAGTGAGAAAGAGTTTCGCTTTACCTCTGCCAGCTTACTTATCAATCTGTGTCCCTAATTGTGGAATGAAAAACTTTACTCTTTATGGAATTTTGGATATCATAAATGTTTTGAGGGAGTGGTGAAAAGTGGGTGATGAGAACAAGAAAAATCTCATTTACCCTTGACTAAAACCCCTTCCTTTAAAAAAAAAAGTCCCTTCTCCATTCCTATCCTGTTTCTTCCTGCCTTGATGTGAACAACTTTCCTTTCACTCACCCTAGTGTTTTATCCAAGACCTCCAATGGCCAGGAATGCAGGGCCTATTTTGGTGAGTCCTCTGCTCTGTCAGCCACTTCTGGCCTCATTCTCATCACTCAACCCTGCTTTTCTTTGATGATACTGTTTTGTGGCCCCAGAAAGAGAAGATCTAATCTGTAAAAGTATAATTTGCATATATCAAACTAACACAGGCTAAATATATGATTGCTTACCAATTATGTCTAATTGTCTACCAGTGTAATAACATAGTGTATATTATTAAGTACATAAAATATTAACTTTTTTAGTCTTTATTTGCAAATAGCAAAACTCTGTTCACGTATGCTGGGCTTTCCTAATTAGTTGCTGTCATAGCATTACCATTTGATCATAACCTTGTTCATTGTGTTTTTGCTTCCAGGCAAAACACCAAATTCATGCAATTATTTCATGTAATGAAACACCTGAAACTCAACTTCCAACCCTTTGCCAAGTGGAAGAGACAAAGAGTAAGGAAAGGAGAAGAGACCAAAAGGGAGGGTAAATATGAGATGAAGAATTCCCAAAGGCTTGAGGTTGCTTTTCCTCGGTCTTTCCTTCAACTTCACCACCCAGAGGTAATATTTTTAAAACACAAGGCTTAAAATAAGCAATTCTCAGATTTAAGCTCTAGTCATCTTTAAACGACAATCTATCCTTCAAAGCTTTTTCTTTTAAAGGAAAAGATTATAGTTCATGTGACAGTTTTAAATGACATAAATAACTTGACTCAACAGAAACAGAGGCCAGTTTTTCTTACAGCTCTGGGCAAATGTGAGGTGGTTGTTAGTCTCTGAGTCTTTGTTTCCTTACCTGCTTATCACTCTATCTAGTTATGCCCTTTGTTAAAATCTCATTATTTGGTGTTCACAGGCACTTAAATTTTTTACTCTCATCAACATTCTATTATATGTTTTATATGCTTCCGTGTCTATTCATTGTAACCCCAAATAGCAGAGTTTTATTTCCTCTAACCTAATGTCTCCTGTTAACTGTTTTCCTTGGCAGTGTCAATCACGTAGTCTTCAAATAGGATTAGGATCATACTTGCTCACAAGGGCACCAAATGTAAGAAGGAATGTCCTCAACGGAGCCAACATTAACAGTTGTCTATGGTTATTCTAGCACAGGTGGGCCAGATGTAAAGAACTTGACCTCACTGTGATCAGTTTAGGACACACAGCTTTTGTTTCTGTTCCAATAACGCAGTGATTTCCAGACTATGTTCCATAAAAATTTCAGAGGTTCAATAAGGGATTTTTGAGTATCTTAGAAAAAAAGAAGATTGTATCATAACATATGGCTTTGATTTGAGTCCCCAGTTCATCCTCCTCAATCACCACCCCCATAACCAGCAACTACTCTATGGGCAATTATGTAGGAAACTTGGGTACGTTTGGCCAAATGTGATATGATTCAGATTTTACCGTTCAAGTCATATTTTATAGGTATACTAATTTATTGAGTGCTTACTATGTGCCAGCATTTACTTAGATTATTTACATTCATCCTCTTAACAACTCTATGATATGGGTACACTTATTATCCCCTTCCATGAAGCAGAGACTTAGGAGGTGAAGAAATTTGCTCAGGTTCTCAGAGGAGAAAGCAACTAAGCTAAGATTGAAACCTTAGACATTTGGCTTACAAGTCCGTGCTCTTAAAGGCAATAATCTGCCACCTCCTTAACAGTTAGATGCAACAGCACTAGAATAACCTACAAAATCAAGCCTTCCTTTTGTATGGTATGTTTGGCCCCTCCCCTCCAATATTGCCCACCTTGTTGAATGCATGGATTGTAAGCTTGGGGTTTCAGACATCTGTGTGAACCGTGTACTGGGTCGGGGGTGGAGGGAGGACCCTTGTACAGTGAGCCTCAGGGCTGTTTTCCATGGAGTTAGTTGCGAGATGGTCTGTTTTCTCAAGTTCCGCTGGCCAGTAGAAAAGCAAAGACTATGTTCTCTAATGACCCTCTTATGGCACAACCTCCCCCAAAGGCCGTCGGGTCAGCATTGCCCAGGGAGGGGACCTGCAGCTCCTCTGTCCCTGCAGCTCTTTAGTTCCTGGCTGCTCTGCAGACCAGTGCGTTGTCCCCAGAGGCTGCCCTCTCCTGGTTGTTTACAGACCTGCAGGGGTTTTCACTTGGGTTCCGTTTCTCCTTTTGTAGGAGGAATTGATGTGTTAAGGAAATG